TTCTATCCTGATTCTTCAAATTCCAAATGAACTTCATAAAAAAAGAAAATAGATACCTTGTGTGCTTTAGGGAAAATTGGAAGTATGTAATTGAAAGAATAAAAATGAAGTAAAAGTGTAGGTTTAATGATAAATTAAAGGATTAAAATGTATGTTGGAAATTGTGAATTGGTGTCATCTGTGTTGTTGTGGGTGTGGATGAAACCAGGAATCCTCAATCTGGTGACAGTTGCTTGTTATATTCCAGTGTATGGTGATAATGGAAGAACCGCAGATGAGTTTTAAGGAAAATGTTGCAATGTTCTGAATAGAGTAAATGCAGTTTTGGGGTGGTAGGGGAATTATTCTGCTAGCTGACATGAATGGATGGATAGGAATCAGATGAGGGACTACAGAAAAAAGTAACTGGCAATTTGGAGACCCCGAAATGAATGAAAATTTACTGGTATCCAAAAAAGTTCTGTTTGTTTCCACTATATGGTTTAAACATAAGTATATTCATATGTACACAAGGGAAAGGAATGAATATACAGTGATGAGATAAATTTTGTGAATTCTTAGAAGTATCTGTAAACCTGCAGTACTGTGACTTACAGTGTGATTAGAGCTTCATCTACTTCTATTAATAAAGATTTTCTGGTTAACCAAACAACACCCCCAAAAGTGTAGTGTGTCATCTTTATTGAAAAATGCTATTAATGTTTACTGTCTTTGTTAGAAAAAGTAGGTGAAGCATATCAGCTTTCTTAAAAGAGTAAGTTGAATTAGATGTTCCAATCAGTGAGATGACATCAGATGTGCATTTCAGGAGCCCTACCCTATAAAAACATTTATACAGACATAATTATTATAGACTAAGTTAAAGACTCCAATCTTTAACACATAGATTTATAGAAATGAATCATGTCCTGATTAAAAGAGATTTCTGTGGACCTCAGAAAAAGGACAGTTAACACTCAGAAGACTGACAATGTTTACAAAATTATTGCAAAAAACTTTGGTCTCCATTAATGAAATGGTCAGGCAGATAGAGTACAAATGGAGAAAATGTAACACAATTGTTATTTCTCCAGGAGTGGTAATACAACAACAACAACAGCAACAACGAAAGAACAAGACTCAGTAGGACACAGAAAACCCCAGAATAAAAAATGATTTGTAGGCCACTCTTGCATTGTCTGATGTCAGTGTTCATGAGTCCACCATAAGAAAAGCTCTGAATAAGAGTAGTGTGCGTGGGAAGATACCAAGGAGGAAACCACAGCTTTCCAGAAAGCACATTGCTGCCTGTCTCAGGTTCGTCAAAGACGTCCTGGATGTTCCAACAGGCTCGTGGAAAAATATTCTGTGACAAAAGTGGATTTTTTTCCCCACTAGGAATACCATGGTTTAGGACAGCTTAGATGGCTCACAATCATTGTGAAGTAACAAAGGATTCTGGATTTCAGTAGCAAATTCTATGGGAAAATGTCAAAGTATCCATCCATGAGCTGAAATTTAAACATATGGGGATCATGCAGCACAACAATGTCCCCAAATACACAAATATATCTACAGCAGAGTGGCTGAAGCAGAAGAAATTTGATGTTTAGGAATGACCTACTTAAAGGCCTGACTTAACTGAACTGAAATGTTGTGATATGACCTGAAGTGAGCAATTCATTAAGAGAGTCCCAAAATACCAGTGAGTTGAAATAGTTCTATAAAGACGATTTGGCCAAAATACCTCTAAGCCAATGTGCAGGATTGATCAAAGGATCAGGAAACATTTGATTAAAATCACTGTTACTGAAGAAAGTTCATCAGTTACTAAATCTAAAGCTTCCTATACTTTTTCCATCAAAGACAATGAATATTGGCTCAGTGTATTCAATAACAACATGACATGATACACTCTCATGCATTCTTTGTTTAACCAGAATCTCTTTATCTATTCACGGGACTTAGATGAAGCTCAGATACATTGCAAGTCACAGTACTACAGGATTATGGATAGTTGTAAAGAGTTCACAAACTTTCACACTGTAAATCTAAAACATGACTAAACTTGATTGTGATGAAAGATTGAGGAATTTAGTGAAAGACATAACATTCTGAATGTGGAACAGAACATTTTTTGATAGTGTCAAGAGTAAATCTCAGGAAAAAATGAATATGGGAAGAAAGAAAAAAAAATGAAAGAAATGAGTAAAAGTAAAGTAACTGCTGGAAGATAAAGTGTGAATCCTGAATTGGGGAAGGGGGAATCTATTTAGTATACAGTGGTACCTCTACTTACGAACGCCCCTACTTACAAAATTTTCAAGATACTGCCAGCCCCAAAAATTTACCTCTACTTATGAACTCGCCTCGACTTACGAACTGGATCCGCGGCCATTTTCCCTGCTGCCATGCGGTCGCGGCTTCCTGTGGGCG